TTTTTTTTTTTTTTTTTTTTGGTATCGGGGCTCAAACTCAGAACCTTGTGCTTGCAAGGCAGGCGGCAGCGGCACTATGAGCTAAATCTCCAGCCCTGTCCTGTGAATTTTGATTGTGGGCTTGTATTTTTGGGAACTTTATGCTTGAGAACATTTTGAGGTTGAGGTGGAGGTGCATTTCTCTGGACGACATCTATGTTCACTTGTGCCAGGCACCTGAGAACTTTAAAATACTTTGTTTGAGGCTTCTCAGGCTACAGAGGAATTGGGAATTGGGGTTCTGAAGCCATGTCACAGGTAGTTTGTGGTTATGGATTTGCAGAGAGGTGGACTAGGTTTATTTCTAGTTCACTCTTGCACTGAGGCTGTAGCTCTTTGGAGTCCTAGACTTGTGTGGAGATTTGTCACTTGACCTCGAACAAATCTTGCACTTGGGGCTGTGGGCGTCTGAGCTTCATGGCTGTGTCTTAAATTACTTTTTCATTACTGAGACACAGTACCTAACACCCACACGTTAAAGGAGGAAAGGTTTATTTAGTTCACAGTTTGTAGAGGCTTCAGTCCGTAATTGGCTGACTCCAAGGCAGGGTGGCACGCCAGACAAGAAGCATTAAACCTCCCTTTCCCTTTTATCCCATGCAGGCTACCAGCCTTTTGGGTGGTGCCACCTGCACCTGGGGTGGGGCTTCCTATTACCCATACCCAGACTAATCCAGTACCACACATCCTTGATCCCAGTATCACATCCTCAATCTACATTCACACATCATAGACCCAGCCACCTCTGGAAATCCCTACCTTTGAGCACATGAGGCTTTGTGGAGACATCTAGAGGACAAGCCATAGCAGCTGTCAGAATGAGTATAGGGTCATCTGTATTTGATGAGTGCCTCATAGTGAAAGCTGACTTCAGGGGTCTGTAGTCCTCAGAAGTCTTGCTTTCTCTTTCATTTAGGCCTTAGAGGAATCTTGCCAATTGATAACTCACTATTGGCTATGTGTGTTTAAATAGTATTACATAAAATTCATCTTTCACTTTAGTCTCGGGAGAATAATTTAGGGCTCCTGGGGTTCTATATTGCTTGAAGTAATCGTCTGTATTCACCTTTAGTAATGGTAAGTTCCATGAGGTGGTTTTATTAGCACTTGTAGTTCTGTTTCTGTGGGGAGATCTTGGCCTTCGTGGAAAAGGATACACATCCTAAGCTGGGGACCTTTGCTTGGCTTGTTCTCTGTGCCTGGACTGCCTGTCACAAAAGCCAGATTAAGAAGTAGGATGACTTGTCTTGGAATGCACCGGGGAAGGTGTGATTACTCCAATCGTAACTGAGGCAGTGTGGAAACTGGAATGTCTGTAGCCACAGTGACCTTGCCTCTCAGAAGCACAGCACTTTCACAAAGACAAAGGTCTGTTTTTCCAGAAGGAGGGAGTGGCAGAACACCCAGCAGGTGCTGGGTGTGCTCACCTTGCCTGTGTTTGGCTTTAATAGCTCGAGTTCTCCGTGGACCCAGAGCCCATTGCTATCAACTGCACGGCTTTCAATCACAACGGGAACCTGCTGGTCACTGGGGCAGCTGATGGCGTCATTAGGCTGTTCGGTATGAAGTGTGTACATGGGAATCGTGGCCCCTCCTTGGGCTGCCCTGCTGGAGTCAAAGCTATTGTGAAACCCCCGTATTACATGCAAGTGCTTAGTCTTACTCTATAGAGTTTTCAAAACACCCAGCGCTATTGACTTGTTCCTTGTCAACGTCCGTAGACATGGGAGTGCTTGGACTGTTCATCTGAGTCCGTGTCGCCCTGTGGTAAGCAGGAGGACACGAGAGCGAGGCCCTTTGCTCACTGCCTGTGGGTGGCTTGTTCTCTGTCCCCAGAGAGACGTACTTAGGGTCTAAGCTGGGTTGCGGTATCTTTGATGGCTCCCCAGGAGCCTTGGCGGAGTCACGAGGCCTTGTAGGAAGGACTCCTTCCTGTGTCCTCTTGCTCTTTCGGGCTCCTCGGATGAGCTCCTTCCACAGGAATTCCAAGTCTCACTGTGACCCATCTGTAGCTCCGGAGTAGCCTGGCCTGGTGGGCACTGTTGGGTTGGGGAGGCCTGAGCAGTGCCTTCTGAGGTGCCAGGGCACAATCTTCGCGGTGTCTCCCAACTCAGACATGCAGCAGCATGAGTGCGCCATGAGCTGGCGGGCCCACTGCGGAGAGGTGTACTCTGTGGAATTCAGCTGCGACGAGAACGCCGTGTACAGCATTGGGGAGGATGGCAAGGTAGGTACTGGCGGATTTATGCGTGAGCTGGGTGGGACACAAGGGGACTGGGGTTAGACCTGTCCTTATGGTCTACTCCCTCCTTTCTCCAAAAATAAGACTGCACCAGAGAAAATCAGCCTTGAAGACTAGAGATAAAAATGCCAACCCCATAGAGCCATATTTAGGGTCAAGATACACTTTGGTGAGCTTGGTAGTTGTGTGGCCTGTGACCATCATGGATGCATAGTATGCCAAGGGGCTGGGGGCAGCCTCCTGGAGACTCACGCCTGAGCCGAGTCTAAAGAAATAAAAAGGACCCACACCTCATCCTTCACCACTACCAAGGAGAAGGAAATGACCGCAGAGTCCTTCTATGAGTTAGGGGAGGAATCACAGCTGCCTTGAAAGGGAGTTAGGGATGGGCCATGGCTTGGGGGAGACACTTTCTTGTTATGTGTGCTTTTCTTTACTTCTAGGATTTCATACCGTTGTATTTCCCCAAAAATAAGATTGAGGTCTTAATGTTGAGTTTTGCTCCAAAGGTGCAATAAGGGTTATTTTGAGGGGCTGTCTTATTTCATTTATGTACAACAATCTACATTTACTCATGTATAACAGTGTGCCTCTGTTCGAATACAGTCATGTCATCTTCTGGAGCATCGTTATAACTCTCCCAACCCTGAATTGTGGCCTGAATGTCTTGCGACTCCATTTCCTGTAGAACTGTTGGCCCCAGTCTCTCATGTCCAGCAACAGGGCTCTCCGTAAATGAGCACTTCTCATCCATGTAGCCTGCTGGTAGTGCATCAGTACAACACACGATGGACTGAATTACAAAGGTTCATGTTAGACACAAACACATCGGTTCATTCTCAAGTGTGCACATTATCTGTGCCTGTGTCTGTACTCCAGTTGGTCATTTGGCGGTAGGTCTAGAGTTTATCTGTTTACATAGGTGTTTACCTCTCGTCCGAAAATGCCCACTTAGATATTTACAAATACTTAATTATAATTTATATTATTTATGTTAAGTATTAGTGTCAGTACTATAACTTATATAGTTGCATATTATTTTATAATTCAGTATGTCCGTCGTGTGTTGCAGCAGACATACTGTTTGGCCAACAATCTTAACTGGAGCTTATTTTTGGAGTAGGGCTTATATTATGAGCATCCAGAAAAATTATGCTGGGGCTTATTTTTATTTTTGGGGAAATGTGATAAGTATCTGTTTTCTCTATTGAAAAAAGTAATTTCAAGATCAGTTTTTGTTTGTTTGTTTTGTTTTGTGCCAGGATCAAACTCAGGACCTTGTGCTTGTGAGGCAGGTGGTGGAACCACTGAGCTAAATCCACGGCCCAAGATCAGTTTTTTTTTTTTTTTTTTTTCCTTCAAGTCTTATTGTTACTCAGTCTGGCGTTAGACTCCTGAGCTCAAATGATCTTCCTCCTTCAGCCTCCTGAGTAGACAGAATGATAGGTGTGCACCCTGGCTTCAATTCCTCATTTGAAAACTATAGGAAGGGATTTTTAAGTTAAAGCTTAGCTTTCTGTTAATGTGGGTAGGATTCCCAGCCAAGAGGTAGTCATAACCAAGTAGTTTGTCTATAGGGTAAACTGAGGAGTTATTCACAGGACAGCCAATGAAGTGTGTGATGGGTTGCATTCCTGAGGAACTGGAAGCGGGTTTGGAATTTGTCCCCAGTCAGAGATCTGATAATAATTAATAATACACACTTGGCCCCTCCCCTGCTTGGGAGCCTGGGAGCTAGGTAAAGCTGCCTGCTGTCCATTTTCCCACCAAGGTCAGGCCAGAGGGGAAGGGAAGAGTTGGACTTTGAAATGAGGTTGCTAACTGTTTTTCTAGATTTTCTTCCAAAAAGCATTGTGTTGGCAAGAGATGGGATTTGGGGCGGCTTGTGGACCATCACCTCCAGCCCCTATTCTGCCTTTGGAGCTTGCAAAGCCCATTCTGGCCTGCCAGGGCCTTGGCAGAGGGAGGCTGTTGTGTCCCGCCCTGCTCTGGGTGGGCCCGGCCTCCTCCCTGCTGGCCCACACTGGTCCTTGCTGAGCTGCATCCTTTTGTGCCTTGTGTCTGCAGTTTATTCAGTGGAACATCCACAAGAGTGGCTTGAAAGTGTCTGACCACAGCCTCCCCTCGGACGCCACGGGCCCCTTTGTGCTGTCTGGTTACAGCGGCTACAAGCAGGTGCAAGTCCCCAGGGGCCGGCTTTTTGCTTTCGACTCAGAGGGCAACTACATGCTGACATGCTCTGCCACAGGGGGCGTCATCTATAAGGTAACTGTGTGGGGAGTTGGGGCAGGGGTCCTCCCTTGGGGCCTGAGTCTATGCCAGGCTGAAAGAGCCCTGAGAAGCCTTTGACATGGGGCATACAGCGGGCAGACCTCCTCTCAAAGGCTGCCTCTCACTTCCTCTTAGGAAGGCGGGGAGGGGAAGGACGCCAGGCACCCGCTTCTGCTTGTCCATTCTCTGTCCTTGCCAAAGCTCTATCCTGCCCTTGCTCCTTGGGAACACTTCCTGTTCTAGAAGTCATGGAGGAGCAAAGAAGAGTTGGGAATGGTTGGGCTGGGAGCAGCCACTGGTGTAGGAGGTCCTGGCACATGGCACATTCTGGGTGGCAGAGAAAGTACATCGAGGGAGAGGGAGCATCTCAGTGTTGGGGTCTTGCAGTCAGTGGTGGTGCTCCAGTCCAAGATGACCACAGGCACCTGGTGCCACCCAGGCTCGAGCAGCTCTCCAGGACTTCTCAACACCACCCAGCTACAAGAGGCCAGGAGAGAGGGTACAGAGTCAGCTCCCTCTCCCTCAATGCACTTTATTGTCCAGAGCTCTCTGTGGGCCAAGGACCTCCTGCAGCAATGGCTGCTCCTGTACAGTGTCTCAGGGCTATGTCCTGTAGTCAGGGCAGCAGGTGGACTTCTGGTACAGAAAGTAAGGCAGACTGTATAGGTGTGCTGAGCCTGGCCATCTGCCCAGTTAGGGTGGTAGCCCAGGCCCAAGGTATTGGGCCGCCATAGTGGATACTATGGATGTGTTTGTGTATGCTGCCTGCTGACACTGCACCCTCTCTCCTGGCCTCTTACAGCTGGGAGGTGATGAGAAAGTCCTGGAGAGCTGCTTGAGCCTGGGTGGCCACCGGGCACCTGTGGTCACCGTGGACTGGAGCACTGCCATGGACTGTGGGACTTGCCTCACTGCCTCTATGGATGGCAAGGTCAAGCTGACCACACTGCTGGCCCACAAGGTCTGACAGGCGGCTAAGGGAGCATGGAACTAGCACCATCTCGGGCAACAGGATGGGACAGAACGCCCACTGCTAGCCCCTGCCAGCAAGTGTGCACCATGGTGACTGGGACAGGAGCCTTGTGGGATGGGTGACATGTGCTTCCCGGAGACCAGAAGGAAAACTCAGGGAGGACAGGCAGCGCAGGGCGCTGTGCAGGCCAAGGAGAGAGTGACAGTATTCTGTGTATATTTGTTTATTTGTCTTTTTTTTAAAATGCTTTTGCCATCAGCTGGTGTCCCTTTTCCCTGTGATTGGGGACCATGGTGGGCCTTACTTCCCCATCAGCTCTCCTTGCCCTGTGCCCTGCAAGTCGCGGGGCCTTTGCCAGGGGTAGGACAGGGGCCCACAGCGTTCTGTTTCTGTCAGGCTCCAGGCAAAGTTGGAATGTCCTCTGACTACCTGAGAGTTGGTGGAATTTGTGACAGAAGCCACTTAGGATAGGTAGGGGATGTGCCTCTGGTGCCTGTGGTTATGAGTGACTCTCTCTGGGTCTTACTCTCATTCTTCACCTTGGCATTGTTGGGACTGAATGGTGCCTGCTCCCTGTGCCCTCTGCTGGTGAATAGCGAGACAGTCAGCAATGGCCAAGTTTCCTGAAGGGCACGAGGATTTCCTTCCCACTCTTGGGTCTGAGCTGAGCCTGGGCCAGCTGTGTCCGCACCCCTGCCCTAGGCCTGCACCCAACTCCCTGGCCTGGTACCCTGAAGAGGCAGATTTGCCACAGGTGGGGAACCACCATCCTGTCCCTCCTGCATTCCACAGCTGAGGCTGGGCTCCTGTAGCAGGCACCATGGGGTTGAAGGGCCAGGGCCTGGGCTTGGGGTTCCCATACCGGAAGGGTGACCTTGTCACTTACCCAGAGAAGGCCACTGCTTGAGCTGCCTGAAACAGTCATTGAGAGCACAGGGCTGGCATGGGGACTTTCCTGGGTACCTACTCTTGGAAAAGCACAAAGGTCCTAAGGCCATGGCTCCCCTCTGTTACAGCTGAGGAAAGGTAAGAAGTACTAGGTGTGTAGATGATGGGAGAAAACATCAGGGTCTTAGCAGTAAGTAGTTGCCCGTTTTCAGCCATTTTAGCCCCTCAAAGAAAACCCAGTGTTTTCCACTCACATTCTTCCATCTTTAGCACTGAAACAGCAGCCTCATCTGTTCCACCCAGTGATCTGAAGGACATTCACCCAATGACCCTGGCTTTCATTTGGGCTGAATGCAAGACTCCCCTCCTCACAGTTTCTGTGTCGCATGCCTACAGCTGGCTGACTGTCCCTACAGGTTAGAGCTCCACCGGAACCCTTGAAGCCCTGGTCTTCTTCCCTGACTGGTCGCCCTCGTAGAAGTGCTCATCTTCAGATGCAGTGTGTAGAATTCCACCTCTCCCTCAGTGCACTGGCTCTGCATCCACCCAAGAGCCCCAGCATGCTCCCTCCTTATCTGGAGTGATGGGATTGAGGCGGCAAAGCCCATGTCCCCTCTGTACCTGCCTGGTGCTGGCCACCCACCCTGGCCTGGCCTGGCCTGTGCCTGGAGCCTCGAGGATACATTTCTGCCTCTCTTTCTTCCTCAGATACCTGCCTGCATTCTGCCTGCAGGCTCGGGCCCAAATCCAGCCCCTGGGCATTCAAATGGGCAGGGCTCATTATGATGCCTGGAAGTACAACACACACATTGTGGACCGACTCAGCCTAGTGCATTGTGTTGCCTCACACAGTCAGCACCTAACATTTTATCTATCAATTTAAAAAATAAAAAATGTTAAAATTCCAATGCTGCTGGTATGGATTCTAGTACATGTAAATGCCATAGCTTGGTCCCTTACCCCTGCCTGGGACCTCTCGCTGAAACAAGGCTCTTTTATTTTTGTGCTGGGGATTGAACTGCCTTCACACTGAGCTATATTCCCAGCCTTTTTTTCATTTTCTATTTTTGAGACAGGATTTTACTATGGCTAGGCTCAAACTTGCCAACTTCCTCCCGCCTCAGCCTCCCAGAGTGCTGGGATCACCGGTGTGCGCCACCATTCCTGGATTGTAACAAGGCATCTGCACACACTTGAGTTGCCTGCTCTTGGGCCTCATTTTTTTTTTTTTTT